ACTCTGTCTACTTTTAAGAATAGGCCAAAAACTGTCAGTTTTTATAAGCTTATAGTTAGAGTAACTCAGGTTATCATGAGCTAACTCTATAGCAATGCTATTATAGGTTTTAACTGCTGGAGGACATACAAATCACTTTTGCATTATTTGTTTGTTCAACCCCTAATGTTTGTGGCCTCTCTGGTTTTCATCACCGTAGTAGCTTTATCATTCTTGGTGGTCTGTTTAGCTGTGATACAATTCTGGAGGTATATGGGCCTGTTTTTTCATGCTTAGTCCTATTACTCTCCTGGATGTAGCTATAGGCTTAATTTTTACTATTACTAACTTTATGTACGGTACAGTGCGCTCTTTCATCCTTTTTGAAATGAAAAATGGCTCAGAGCTCATCTGTTTAGCAGTCTTCCTTAGACAGAGCTACCTTTGGAACTGGTTACCATTATAGTTTCTAACAAAGAAGGTATTTATAGATCAGTACCTCTATGGTCCTTTTTGTTCACCTGCATCTATCCTCTTGAAACTTAGTTGACTTTGGCAGAAGGCCGCTCCATCTGAGCCTGGATCTGCTGGAGGTTTCTTTCTGTTGAGCAGGTGTTTTTTTTTCTCCACAATCCCTGCATGTATACTCGGTGTGAGGGATTGCTGCAGAGTGAATGACAATGCAAACAAATGTCTACTCTTGCCTTATGCTCATCCAGGAGGAGCAAATCCTGCAAAGTTAATGACTTGATGCAATCAAGTAGGTTTCAGATTTATGAAGAAAGCAGATGTACAGTAGCACTTATTAAAGTTGAATACTATACAAGTGAAATATTTAAGTTCAAACATAATGCTTCATTCAACTGGTAACAAATACATGATTATGATATATTTTCCCTCTAATTTAGTCAGTAACAGTGATGCTTTGAAGTACATGCTAAGCTCCCTTTCACTGTATACTTATCCTCCACTGATAGGCATCTCTTTTTAAAAGGGACTTTTATAGCCCAGTAATAATGATACTAAGGAGCAAAGAGAAAGAATCTACTCAGAAAAATCATGATCAAAGAATTAAATCTTGGTTTCAGTTCTCCTCTCACTGCTCGTTGGCTCACATTACCAATTCAAAAGTATTGCTTTAATCCGGACCACAACATCCAGAGAAACAAAGCCTGCCCTCAATCAAACTAAGTCCTGGTCTCCAGGGATTTTCAAAGTCCACCCGAACCTCTGGGGAAATTATAACATCTGCTGTATTTAATATGGAGAATGTGTTCATTCTGTTCTTTCACATAGCAAAGGAAGTTAATGTATTTTTTATCTTTCTGGTGGGCAGGGAAAATTCAAATGAAAAAGTGAAGGTGTAATTAACTCTGACATCAGAAATTTGACAAATAATATAGATATCCTGGCATAGGTACAACAACCAGCTACAATTTATTCTGGATGTCATTCATTTTCTCATTTGGTTTTTATTTCTTTCAATATATTTTGATAAAAGCATCATAAACATTTTACCGCTGAATTCTTACAATGCTAGAATCAACACATTATTTTACAACAAAATGTAAATATTGCAGGTGCAGGGACAAGGGGGGGCACTGTTATTTATTATCATTGAATGCAGAAATAGTATTTCTATGTGTCTCAGCAATTAGCATAGATGGTCACGTAGGTGCATAAGGAAAATACAGAGTGGGAAGATCACTGCGTTTTCCACAAAGCTCCATTATTTCAAAGACCAACTCAAGGCACTGATTTGTCTTTTTCCAGATTATGTAAATATATTGTATTTATCCATAAATACAGGCCATGTAGGGAAAACGGAAAAGGTTTCTTGTTTCTATGAGATGCATAACTGTGATAAAATATGTGTATATTAGGTTGTTAATATGTTTAAAAATTAAGTCCTTCCTTATGCTTCAATTGGGTGGTTTTTTCAGTTGTATTATAATTCTTATATTTGGCAAAACTGCTATGGAAACACTTTTTTTCCCCGCATCACACTAGCCAAAGGACCTGCAGCTGGACAGTGCTGCTTTGTAAAACGTTGAAGAAGATGACTGGAAGTAGTGGAGGGATGATGTCACCCACTAGAGCCGTGGCTGAAATATGTATAGCTACATATCATGTGTTTACATCTAAGTTATCATCTAAACAAAGTATTCATGTGCAAATTTAATAGTATTTGTTATTTAATGGAAACACTACAACACTATTTCACATTCTCAAATTTAGCAGAATATCGATACAGTTTTGAACACATTTGTAATGTAGATGCAGCTTAGCTCTCTTTGTTGCTTTAACTGGAATCAGTTCTTAATCAGTTTATAAAATGAAGAGCAGTGATTGTTTTCTTTTGCTGTGTTTGAACATTTTGGAGAATTGTGAAAGTTTATAAGTTGTTCTTTTCTGACGTGAGTCCCTCTCCAGGTTCAAAGCTGTTACAGGTGGCTAAGTCCTCAGTCAGCCGTCCAATTCAAACTGCAGTAAGACCCACTCCAACCATCTTCCGAATGCAAAATGTATTTTGAAAATAAAAAAGCTGCAACTAGTTTATCCTATCCCAGTTAGAGCAGGAAGTCTTTGTCTAAAATTTATATTTCTGTATTTCTATTTTCCAATTTTGGTTTATGCAAGTTAGTAAAGTTGACAGTTCATAAAAGTTAAATAACTATTGTAATTTATCTTCTTATAGAAAACTAAATGAATCAAACGCTTAAAGACAAAACGCAAAAGATATCCATAAAACTTTCATCATCAGGGGGAACTGAGCTTTCTGACATTATTTGGTTTTGATCATTTTGATTCTGATGTTAACCTGTATAATCATTGTGTTATTAGTTTCATAACTTCTGTATGTTCCTCTACCTGGGTGGGTGGATGAGGATCCCACTTCGATCCTCTCTTAGATTAGAATCTTTTTTTATTAAAACATTTTGTTTTACTTTATTTTAACAAGCTATCCTGCTTTTTTATACTACATGAGTTGGTGTGTAGCCATGAGGTGTTGTAGTTACACAAAGCAGGTCAAAAAGCCCATACTTCATCTATCTATAGAAATAATTACAAATGAACAAAAAAAGTTTAATAATGTTATCTCAACAGTAATACAGCTTCAGCTCTGTGTCACAGAGGTTTAGGTTTCAATAGAAATGGGCTTAAGTGTGCAAATAGTCTAATACTTCATGTGACAAAAAGATGTGATGACATTTAGAAAGAAAAGAGCTTCAACTGTGGCTCATCCTTACTTATAGTCTGTCATAATGTCATGAATGAAGTCTTTGCCAAATCTGAAAGCTCTACGCTCTCCTGCTCTCTCTCTGCCTGATTTCTGTTTCTTTCAATTTCCAGACATTGTTTCCCTAACACAAGAGCAATCATTTCTCAGTGTCTAACCTCTGAACTATTTCCCATTTTTTCCCCTGTTTTTTATTTATTAAACTTTAAGTTCTATCTACGCAATACTCTAATAGCTAAGGAAAAACAAATCGTCACTGATCCATTAAGTTTTTTATTCTTTGAGAAAAGTTGCAGAAAACTAATTCCTGGGTTTTCTGGCTGAAAGCCACAATCCCACTGCTCCAATCGAATCTCTTTCATCTCCACTAAAATCTTCCAGGACCTAAAATCTTTGATGACTGCAACCTCTCAGACACATGCAGGCAAACACACACAGGTCGCTGATTACACTCGCTCTCTTTCCAATACCTTCCAGCTCAGCCGTCTAAAGCTTAAATCAGCACCTTGCTGACTTGATGGAATGCTGATTGTGAGTGAATGGATTTGAGCTGTACCCGGCGAGGAGCATTTGGAAGCATTAAGGAGAGCACTCATCCAGTGATTTCACTCAAAGAGGGAGAAAAGTGATAAGAGCAGAAGATCTGTTTTTAAGCTCCAAATCAACTATGTTCTGCTCAACATTGAACATGTGGGACTCCAGAATAACCAAGAAAACATGCACACATACTTCTGTTTGGCTGCGTGTTGCAGATCGTCTTTAATGCACTTGATTATCCAAGAAATCTCACCTCTTGTGAATCAAAGGTGACATTTCTTAGCTTTCTTGAAAGAAAACAATTTGAGTTTTTTTTTTCCAACCTAGTGATACAGTACATATTAAAATTGGACTTCACTTTCCCTCCAAAAATGAACAGATCTTAATCTTGCCATGTGAGCCAAGGTAAATAATGCATTTTTTTTCTACCATGAATTTTCTGAGCATGAGAAGCTGTGAAGGCAAAGAGCCCAGTGCGTGTCACTGGGAGGTTCTGGGCACTGAGAAGACTGCCTTGAGCCAGCATTACTGTTGGGTCTGGCTCAAACGGTGCAACTTTTGCCATTATATTTTAGCACCGAATTACAATCAAAGATGATTAGATGAGAAACCTGGTCATGTTAAAACAAAAGAAGAAAATCTTCCCCTCACGCTATAAAATAAATGTTGTAATTAAAACAATTTGCTTCATAGGCTGGCTTTACTTGTTGGACTAAGAATAATATAAACATATTTTGCTCTGACAGACCTGAGAATAGATATGAGGGATGCCTCACAGGTTAATGTGACTGAAAGAAACTATGGAGCCATGAAATTAAACACTATTTGTATCCGATATAGTAATAAATCACTCCAAGATCAAGTAAAAAAGCTACCACTGACACTTTATCATAAAAATGTAGCTGCTACACTCAAAAGTTTTAGCATTGTACAGTTGAATCTTTTGCCAAAAAAGGAAAAAATGAAATAAATGTTTAATAAAAAGGGCGGTTTTACAATATAATATAATATAGCAGGAAGATTTCCATCATATGAAGACAAGATAATATTTAAGCATTGGGAAAAAAAGAGAAACAACAGCATGGCTTATAAGTTAAAGAGTGCAGAAATGTATCATGCATTTTTACATGCAAAGATATAGACCATTCAGGCCTTTTCCACAGCAGGAACATAACAACAAGAACTTGTAAATGCTCTGCTCTACCTCACCTCCTGGGTTTCGCAAACTTGATCATTATATGTCACTTAAAACGAGAGGCTACCTTAAAAAAGATGATTGACTTCACTAAGAGAAAGTAATGCATGAAGTAGGGCTTCTCACCTTATTTTTTTGGGTTGAATAAAAAAAAATATAACTATCTGCACTATCTACTTTCATAAGAAGGATTTTACATTAAAAAACCCTCTGCTTTGTGCTTTTTTATGTCTTTAAAGGAGCAACTTGTGTGATGAGTCTAAACCAAGCTTTCACTATAAAACTTGTAAGAAGATACAACTTAGTTTGGACAACTCTATTATATCCAAGTAAAAAAAGCATAGTTAAATCAGCAATACATTAATCATTAACTTTACTCAAAAGTCTCTCAATTTGCCTTCCTTAAAATTTGTGTTTCAATTTCTATTATGGGAAAAAGGGGAGACTGGGGAGGATTGCAAAACCTTTTTTTTATTTTATTTTAAATACTCTGCCTGTACCAACACATTTGTTTATGAATTAAATTATTTACATAATATTGATAATTACCCTTTAACAACTGAATCTGATTATATGGGACACATTTTTCACAAAAGTCTCATAAAAAAGTTTAGAGTTGCAACTGTCCTCCTCCTTGGGACGGTTGCAATATCTCTCATGGACAGTTGCAACATATTATGAATCCATTCAATTTCACAAGTTAACATTTTTGGTTTTGGTTTCAATGAAAAATAATAATAAACAGATATCCCAAAGTGAAGCAAAAAAAAGTTTAGAAACTTTTTCAAAGATGACTTTAATTAAAAATCCCAAATTAACACAGCAAAGACAACTTCTTAATGTAGCCATGACATCCAAAAGGCCAGTTTTAAAATGGAAAAAAGAACTGAATTTTAAGAGCACACATTTTATACTGTATATTCATTAATCATATCTTAGAATGTACTTATTTTCTATATATATACATTCAAATGTAATTATTTAACAAGTCCCTCTCTTCCCCATGGGTTAGACTCACACTTGTGGCAAGTGTAAAAATCACCTCCAGCTGAGCAATCTTTATGTGCTCAGGATTGGAGCCACACTTCCCTGGATTTTGAGTAGCTTTCTGTCAGCAATGAGATAACACCATATGCTAGCTAGACAAAGAAATTTGAGCACAAACTCTGTATCTTAAAAGTCTTCTAGTCTCACCTGGAATTTTGTATGGGCGCAGTATGGGGGGCAAACGCGCACAAAAAATAAGTGCTGATTTGCAGTATAACAGTGACTTTTTTTAGCACAAGGACCTAAAATGCTTTAACATCTGTTAAACACTTTATTTTCGATAAATCTGAAAGACTATCTTAATGTGCCTTCTGTCCTGTTGCTTATGGAGAGAGCCTAACTGAGAATGTGCAGTAATAATGTAATCAATATAGAATGTTTCTGGTTTGAGAAAAAAAAAAGATGTGTTGCAACTGTTTGCAGTCTCCCCTATTCATGAATTAATGCTTTTGTGTTTTACTGCATTTCCTTTCTGTACATAGTTACTGATATGGCTTCTGCATGATTTGCTCGCTATGTTAAGAACCTTGAGAGAAACTACTTTTCTTGTGAATCAAAAATCAAAGTATCATTTTTTATGGAACCATGGCTCTCTTGATAGCAGAAAAACATTTTAAATCCATATTTTACACCTTTTGGAATCATCTAAATTTGATGCAATCTCCTAACATATTTGAAAATCCTAAATGAGCAGCGAGCTAAAACTATTCCTTTGCATTTGTATTTGGCGTTCCTCATAAAAAATAAAAAGCCAGAAATGTTCATGTCCTAATCTAATTTCACAAAACCTATATTCTCTTTAGGCTTCAAAATGAAAAAAAAAGATAAAAAAATAACTGAATGCAAACTTCCTAAAGCATATATGAGGAGTATTAATGGTGATTTTTTTAAAATGTACTCTGTTAAAATTGCTTTCCTAAACTTTACTTAAGCCATGGGATTTTGAGTTGATTCATTCTTTGAGATGGACTCTTTTTACTGACATTTTCTCCACCTTACTAAATCTAAGTCAAACACCTATAGGTTCTAGCCTGCAGCAACTTTTATCCCTGAGAGAGGTAAGCAGTTTTTACTCCTTATTCCAAAAAAACATATTTTTATAGATTGTAAATTATTAATGTCACACAGTGGAAAAGGCATGTTCATTTATATTAATGCCAGCATACTTTGATAAATGTAAACAGCAAAGCAAAAAGAAAATCCAGACATCAAGCCATGCAAAGGAACAATTGTTAGTAAATCATGCAAATGTGGATTCATATATTCCCGCCTTCTTGAGTAACAATGTGTGAAATCAGGGAGTATTTACATTTTATGTAAATGGTAAAAGTAAAAAGCTAAAACACAAGACAAACCTGTGGCAAGGCACAGGGAGCATTAGGGCACATCTTCTGAATCCTCAATACTCTGGTGAATCAAATTCTGTGCATCTCACCAAACCATGGATTTGGTTAACATTAATGGGGCTGTTTTTCTTTTGCCAGTGCTGCGTGAGAATTTTTGTTCAATTCTGACTTATCTTTACAGATCCTGCTTATCTTTAACATCAGCTTCAGAGATGCTGACTTCTTCATTATGCCCATACCCATAAAAATCAACAGACCAGGTGGGGAAAGCTATGAGTTGTGTGTGTTGTCACATGTTCACACATGTGTTCTTCCCTGCAGATTGTTCTTAGTTTAACAGCATCTTTGCCCCCAGCTTGAAACTTTGAAACCCTGTTAGTCCCATTAGCCCCCACCACCAGCAGCAGCAGCAGCAGACATGTTGGCACTCACGCTGGCAGTGACCCCAGGAGCGGCGTGTCCATCCCCAGCAGCAGTCCACCCTGGCCCCGTATCGACACAGGCCATTGGATGATGCCATCTGTCGAGGCCACCTGTAAGTGGAAAACAATCATCTCTCAACAAATCATGAACAGGAGCTGTCTAGCCATTATTCAACTCTCACAAAGATGTTTTCATAAAGGCTACACTATTTCCATGGAAAACTAGAAGAGTTGATCACGATTGTTTGCATTAAATAGAGCTGAAATATGCAGTATTTTACTGAAGCTCTGAATTTAAAACCTTTGATTACAACATTTGAATTATTGTTGCAAAGCTGAAACTTAAGTGTATTGATGGTATTTAATTAACATTATCTAACATTATCCTGTATTTATCTGCATGTGTAACAAAACAAGAAATTTTGACACCACATCCGGTGAAAAACAATGCAGAAATAAAAGCTATAATAAGAGCAAAAACGGGAGGAGGTTGCAGCTCAGTTTATTTCAGTTTAAAAGCCACATTTAAAGGCAACTTTTAAATCAAATCTAAGGAATCTGATTTGAATTTCTAAGAAAGTGTGAGTTTTAAAAATGTTGTTAGTTACCTTATCAAAGAAATCTTAAAAGCAAATGTTTTTAAGCATGCATTGAAATGTAAATAATGAAGGATTTCAGATTTTCTTTGCCCCCTGTAAGCAGATGCTCTAGCACACTGAATCCCGTGTGTCCTGAAAACTTGCCAGGTTCGTTTAAAATTTAGCTGCACCACCAAGACACACATTACTGTAGAGGTCTAGATGATGAGCTATTTTGACTGCCGTAGAAAATTCAATATTTTTCTCTACTGCCCTTTTCATGACAGCTGCGGATATCTTTAATGTCACACAGAGGATGTGACGGAGTTAGTTTTGTATAAAAGTTGGTGATTTCCTATTTCTCCCAGAATTATAACTGCTGGACTTTTTTTATTATTATTATTATTTTGTTACCACAAGCTCTATCCAGCTCTTGGCAGATACGAGTGGATTAGCTTTTTATCTGCAAGAAGAAAGAGAGGAATGATTCCTTTTAAGGACATTGCAGGAAAACCAAGCCAGTATGAGATTTTACTAGAATCATGTATGATATAGAAGAATAAGTGATTCATTTAGACCTTTATTACTACACACATTAGTATGTGTGTGCTTTGCAAAATGTAAAGGAAATAAAAAAAACATATATATATATAACTGATTTAGTACAGTAAAACATTTCCTCATTCACAAAGCACAGAATATTCTTTCTTTTACTGCTATGAGTAAAATTGGGCTTTGCTCAGTATTCAAGGCACATCCCTTGCTGCTATCCATGCCTGTTAGTGTCTCCATGCCAAGATGAGGAAATGCTAATGCTTGCTTGTGCTGCCAATCACCTCAGTATTAACAAAAAAAGCAGATGGATTCTAAGTGAGAGTGGCAGATACAGAAAAAAATGTTTGCCCACTGTCTGGCAAGCAGGAAAGCAGCTAGTCAAACACAGAGGAGAGGAGCGCAAGAAAAAACAAAAGAAGGGAATTAAGGGGATGGAAAGAAAAAGAAAAGAAATATTCAACTGCATGGAGATGAAAAAATGAGATGAGAGAAAAAAAGAAGACAAAAGGCCTCTAACAAAGTCAGAACTGTGAAGACAAGACCGCCCAGTGCTGATTTAATCATGTAAATACTATATTCATACTTTATCCATATTATCAAGAGGATAAAAGACAGGTCCAACACTGCAAAAAAAGGTTTTTGGTTCAGGTGTTATAACTGAAGGTTAATAGTCATGGAATGTTTGAAAAATCTCATATATGCAACCAATCAAAACGGTAATTAAAATGATCTGGCAGATTGAGAGAAGATATATTTTAATACTTTAAAGCCATTCCTGGATAACCTTTATTATCTCATTTGCACTTTTAGTGATCCTCTAATCTTAAGACTTTGGGCCGGATCTATCAAAGGTTTTCGTGTATAAAAACATGAGCTATTTCACTGCGCAC